GGGCCACGAGCTGGGACTCAAACTCGGGACACCCAAAGTGCAACAGCGTTATATGTTGGCACACTGCCACCAGGCTATCGGTGCCAACAACATTACTATATGTTTTTTTACTGTATTTTTTGATCAAATAAATGCAGCCTTGGTGAGCATTACAATTTGGTAGTGTTGGTATGGTAATTGGTATGTAAAAACTCTGTGTGATTTATACTGTGAGAATTTTTTTTTTCTAAATTAAAGGGGTCATATGCTGCTAAAAATAACATTATTTTGTGTATTTGGTGTAATGAAATGTGTTTATGCGGTTTAAAGTTAAAATAAACCCTGCAGCACCGATCGAACCGACGGCCGGTGAACCAGCAGAAGGACAAACAGGTGCGACTGCAGAGAAAACACATCGGAGACGCTCACGCAACACTCACCAGACGAGCACAAGAGGACTGTGTGTGTGTGTGTGTGTGTGTAAACTCACACAGCAGCAGGCCGTCACGGTGATCTGGATGGTGTTTCGGCCCGGCTGACACAAGTGCTTCAGGTGCAGGGGTTTGTGGGAAGTCTTGTTGTCGCCGCGCTCGATAGTGAGCGGTGTGGCGTTGACACTGACCAGCACCGACGCCGGCCAGTTCGTGTACATCTGCCTGTCTTCATGATGATAACACTTGAACTGAAGCTCCAGATCAGACCTGAGACACAAACACAGGCGGACTTGAACAGGAAGCCTCTGTCTGGCTGTTTTTATATATTTATTCGCGTGTGTGTGTATGTATGTATGTATTTGTGATAGTAAAGTGCTAATAAAACACAGGGCTGGGAACCGCCATAAACCACCTGATTCGATATTACAATATTTAGCTTCCAGATTCAATATTATTGAAATAAAAATTTAAAAAATTATATATATATATATATATATATCAGGGTTCTTACACCTTTTCCAAATTCAATTTCAAGCACTTTTCAAGGTGCATTTTCAAGCTTTTCCAGCACTTTAAACTGTGGTAAATTACATGTTTACACACACACACACACTTGAGTTTTTCACTTTATTAAGAAATAAAGAAAAGGGATGAGTCAAAAGTATAAAGAATAATTTTTTTCAGCGGCTCTGGTGGCAGAAGATGAATTTGCATTTTTTAATAAGTCCATCTGCTGTTTTTGTTCAGAACAAAAAGCTAATGTTTCTTCAAAAATCTAAAAAAAAGTAAGATGTCTGTGTGCTTTAAGTTAAAATAATTCTTTACACTTTTGACTCATCCCTTTCCTTTATTTCTTAAAAATAGTTTAAAGGCTAAAACGTGAGCTTCTGTCTGCCAGCAGGTGGCGCTTTTGGAACTGCAGAAATACAGCGGTTTAAAGTGCTGGAAAAGCTTGAAAATGCACCTTGAAAGTGCTTGAGTTTTAATTTGGAAAAGGTGTAAGAACGCTGTACATCACTCTTGTCACTGTAGTCCATAGCAACAACAAAAATGTATCTTGACTCCATATAATGGTGGAACTGCAGAAATACAGCGGTTTCCCCGGTAACGGCTGTCGCTACACAAAGCAGCTGTGCTCACAAACGCTACTTTATCAGACATTATACGTCGGTCAGATGAAACGAAAATGCCATTGAAACTTCTCTGAAGGCAGTCGGTTCACTTCAGAGATGCATTAATATGAAAACACCTGTGCTGCATTTTGACTTTGAAATATTTATTTTATTATTTCACTTTAATCGCGACAGTCTTAACATATTTAGTTTAACTGAGGAGGGGCATTTTTGCTTACCTTTTACACGGCTTGAAAGCGCAGACTCTCCCATGAAAAAAAACTGACTTTACAGGAGACTTTACATTATTCGAACCATGAATTTATATTTGTCGTTTTCAAGCCAACGCTGACTGAAGCAACAACCTCCCGACATGTGTTTATCGGGAGGTTATATATGTGTTTATATAATAAAGACCGGCGGATCACACTAAAGCCACACGCGCAGAATCGAGCGGAGCTGTTTTCGTTTTATGCAAAAGGCATTTTGTCTAAAAAGTAAACTAACGTTATTCAGTAATAAATAAAGCAAATTATTAGAAAACCAATGCAATTGCAATTTCAAGGATTTCAAGCACCTGTACGAACCCTGATATATATATATATATATATATATATATGCATTTAGCATTTAAATAAAATATAATAAATTATTAAATAAAATAATAAATATACTTTGACTCTTAATCATCAGCATGTTTAAATATTTAATAAACTTTAAATATTTAATTATAAAAATTATTCTAAAAGTACTGTAATAATAAAAAAGAAGATACTTTAATCAAATATATAAAATATAATAAAATGTATATTATAAAATATAATATACTAAAATTAATAAATTATTATTAATTTTATATTTATAATAAAATAATTTAAAAATGTATAATAAATAAAACAGTGG